TTTTTTTTTTTTTTTTTTTGCTTCTGTTTGTTCTCTGTTTCTTTTACTCTACTGGTTTGGCAATTTCCTGTCTTGTAAATCTCTTGTAGGAAGCAGGATGGGAAATAGTACAATATAATCCTAAAATCAATCCCTTTTAAGATCTTTCTCTTTTTATCCTGGTTCGTTGTCTGTTTGGCTTTCGACATGGCTAGCAGTGTATATGATCCCGACAACCTGACCTGAATTATAGCGACAAAATATACACTAGGAACATTAGTTTGAATGGAAAAACAGAATTAAAAGTAAGCTTAATATAAATTGCATAATTGTCTGGTGTCAGTTAATGGAACAAAAATTGTTCTATACACAATATCATATCCCCCGCTTTGATCACATAAAATATCACACAGATATCAGCATCAAAAAAAGTTCCCACACCTTCCTACCTTCCTACCTTCCTTCCTTCCCCATCCATTTGCCCCCTAAAGTACCCCGCCCCCACACCTTTTATTACACTCTATCAGTAGCCCTCCATTTAATGCCAAAAACCGAAAGTCTTCCAAATCTTCATACAGGAAGCGAACTCTTGATAAGTAACACTGCTTTTAGGCTAGCTTGTGTCCAGTGTGCCAGTCAGTTTGTTTGTCACCAAAGCATGAAGGAAAATCAACTCCCAGAAGGCTTAATCTGCAAACAGAACTCCATTTAGACAGGCAATAATAGGCTTGGTTTTATTTTGGAGTGAGTTTTAGATAATTCGTTTAAACTCAGTTCCACATACCAAGAAATTCAGTCCAAATGAATAAATGGGAGAGAAAACATTGCAATAAGATGATTTTGGTTGAAGCATCTTACCATTGCTGGTTTTTCCTAAACTCTGTAAGCACTGGATATATGTTCTCAAATGCTGTGTATGTCTCCTCTCTCACCTGAAGGATTCAAAACACACAACATCCACAACATCGAGTTGAATTTTTAATAATTGATGCGAAGTTATATTGACCATTATCAAAGTCAAGGAACTTGGAGAGCCCTCTACAGAAATAATTCAAGGCCAAACTAAAATAACTAATCATTATGCCTTCACCCTACCATTACTCTTATTCGTAGCCACTGGCTTACAAACTCTTTAGCTATTTACCTATACCCTCAACATTCTTTTGTCATCTACCAACAGTTTCTTCCATCCTTCAAAATGTCTACAAACATTCTCATTTAGGAGGCAAAATATAACTAAAATTCTTCTAACTTCAACAAGAATAATTGTATTAAGAAAAAATGAATTGAAGGAATTGAGGAAAGATCAAGTCAAACCAAAGCACAGGGAGGCTACACAAGCACTGTCTAACCAGGTAAAATCAGAGCGATAGAAAAATACTAGACTTTGATTTCAAGAACGAGAACGGAAATGGCAATCTAACATTACCTTAGCCCCAGTGAGAACTATTTTTCCAGAAACGAAAATGAGAAGCACAATCTTTGGTTGTTTCATCCTATAAATCAGTCCAGGAAATAACTCTGGTTCATACTGAAAAGAAATGGAGACCAAGGTTTTAATATAAAGTTATATTCCATATATCTAACCAGTTCAACATCAAAATATAATGTTTAACCTAATAAAATATATAGGGAATGTCAATTACAATGAGGCAATTTAAACATTGAAAATAATAATAACTCTCAAGGATTCCATTCATCTCAAGCAATCACTATCACGACAAATAATTTAGCTTATGTCACTCAGAACACCACAAGCCTCAGTACCATCGCAAACTTTTTAAGGCATGAAAAATCATTATCGTACTAGTTCCTCATGAAAAAAATTCAAATCACAGAATCACATAAAGAAATTGAAGAATCATAGTAAAGAACATATACATGTACATATACATTCAAGTCAAGCACCAAAAAAGGTCAGGATTTCTAGTAGAAAAATGCTTGAATAACAATGGACGTCCAGACTCTAACAAATTTAATAGTGTGGGAATATAACGTTCCCATTAAATACACATAGAGACCAAGATAAAGACCTAGAGCTTACACTTGAAAAGGCACCGTGAGAATATGCAAGACCCTCAAGTCTTATGGGGAACTTAACATCGCATGAACCAACAATATTCTGAATCTTAAAATCCTGCACTAGATTAAAAACAAACGCATCATGAAGTAATTCACTGTGCAATTTATATGTGTAAAAGATTGTGGATCCCAAAGACTGTCCAATGGCATTTGCAGTGATATGCACGCAAGAAATTGGCAAATATGTGCGAATAAATGTGTATATAATTTAGTTTTAATAATGAAGTTTTTTTTAAAACTGAACTGTGTCTACATCTTATTTTCTCCATCATTATTACCGAGGGGGAGAGAAGCACATACCTTAAACTTGGCAGGAAAACCAAGTTTTTGAATAATTCGGGCATACTGGAAAGAGGAAACAAGATAATATCAGATACAAAATAGCTTCATCTAAAAAAGAAGGGTGTAAATGCATGAGATGCCCCAACAGCTTTTAGATTAATAAGAAAATCATTTACCTGTGTTGTGCGCCGAAAGCGGAACAAATGTACTCACAACACCAAAGTTACTCCAGACATACAATATGACACTCAAAACTTTAATGATTTCAACAGCAGAAAGAATGGCATTATATAGCCTTCTGCTAAACCTAAAGATAAACTAACAAGCCAAAAAAAGACCTTGAGAGTAGGTCTTGGTCCTAGAGAATAGGACTTATGACAGTGTTCAACAATCTCCACCTTGTCATAAGATCTCCAAGTTGATAGCTAATTTGGTTGCTACCATGTCAACACACTACTCCCTTCCGACGTTGATGAAATCTAAACAATGCCAGAACTTTTCACGAGTGATCACCTTTGTCAACATATCAGCAGGGTTATCAGCAGTTCCAATTTTTAATAACCGAATATCCCCTTTGCTAATAATTTCTCGAATAAAGTGAAAACGGACATCAATGTGTTTTGTACGAGCATGATGGACTTGATTTTTTGACAAGCAAATAGCGCTCTGGCTATCACAAAATACATCTATATGTTCCTGCAAAATACCCAAGTCATTGATCAAACCATGCATCCAAATAGCTTCTTTAAAAGCTTCTGTTACTGCCATATACTCTGCTTCAGTGGTAGACAATGCAACAGTAGACTGCAATGTTGAACGCCAACAAACAGGTCCACCAGCCATAGTAAATAAATAACCCGTAGTAGATCGTCGCTTATCCAAATCACCAGCATAATCAGAATCCACATAACCAACTACACGATTGTCAAGATTAAACATTTCTTGTTTTTGAAACTTAATACCAACATCAATAGTGCCAAGAATGTACCTAAGAATCCATTTTACAGCCTGCCAATGCTCTTTACCAGGATTATGCATATAACGACTCACCATGCTTACAGCGTGTGAAAGATCAGGTCGAGTACACACCATAGCATACATCAACGCACCAACAGCATTTGTATAAGGAATGTTCTCCATATACCTTTTGTCATCATCAGAACTTGGACACATGGAAGCACTAAGCTTGAAATGAGGAGCAAGTGGAGTACTAACGGGTTTGGTTGAATTATTCAAACTAAATCTTGACAATACCTTGCGTAGATATTGAGACTGAGTCAACCAGACTGTACCTTTTTTCCGATCTCGCTCTATTTCCATTCCAAGTATTTTCTTTGCATTGCCTAAGTCTTTCATTTCAAATGTTTTAGAAAGCTCATCTTTGAGCTTATCAATCTCCATCTGTCTCTTTGAAGCAATTAACATATCATCAACATATAAGAGCAAATAGATAAACGATCCATCATCGAGACACCGATAATACACACAATGGTCAAATTGACTATGAGTATACATATGCTCTACCATGAAATGATCAAACCTTTTATACCATTGGCGAGGGGATTGCTTCAGCCCATACAAAGATTTCTTCAATCTGCATACTAAATGTTGCTGTCCAACTACTTGGAAACCAACTGGTTGCGCCATATATATTTCTTCTTCCAAATCTCCATGCAAAAAAGCAGTTTTTACATCAAGTTGTGCAAGCTCAAGATTAAATTGAGCAACCAAAGCCAACAAAATTCGAATGGAAGAATGCTTTACCACAGGTGAGAAAATTTCATTGTAATCAATACCTTCCTTTTGTGCGTAACCTTTAGCCACAAGTCGAGCCTTATAACGTATACCAGAAGAGTCTTCCTTTTTTGCAAAAACCCATTTACAACCAATTTCCTTCTTACCTTTTGGAAGTTGTACCAAATCCCAAGTTTGATTTATCTTCAATGATGCTATCTCCTGATTCACAGCCTCTTGCCAGTGTAAGCTATCCGGGCTCTGAATAGCATCTTTGTAGCTGTTAGGAACTCCATCAATCAAAGAGAA